TCTTCCCGAACCGGGGCACGAACCCGTGTCCCCTGCATCGGCAGGCGGACTCTCAACCACTGCGCCACCAGGGAAGCCCGGGCCTGTTTCTTGATAAACCTGAGTTCAAATCCCTGCCCTGCCACCAGCCAGCTGCCGGGGTGGAGCTGGCCCATGAGAGCAGAGTGTACAGATGCCTTCCTGGTGCCACGTTCAGTGACATCACACGTTCAGTGATGTCCAGAGGTGTTTGACACTTTGAAGCCTTTTCTCTGCTTCAGATCAGCCGTGCTGGGAGTCTTCAGCCCACAGAGGTCCACAGACACCCCAAAGCAGAGCACCCTCTCTTGTAGAGGTGGTTGTTGATCTTTACCAGCACACCACTAGACTTTGGGCAAGTTACAAAGTTTTCACATCTGTAAAATGGGGATGATGGTAACGATGATGACGATGGTAGTGCCTCTGTGGTTGGGATACAGGTTTGAATCAGTGTAAATATACCGCAAATAATGAGGATTTAAACAATGTACAAGTTTATTTCTCTCTCCTGTGAAAGTCTGAGCAGTTACCTCTGTTTCTGTCGCCTTTCCCTAGGGCTCATGCACCTTTCTGCACATCACAGCATCGGTTCACTCAGCCTCTGCTCTGACTCTCCTTGTCCCCAGTTTGGGGAGACTCTTCTCTTCTGGGGCATAAGGCTGTGCTGTGACTCCCTGTGCTTCCCTCTGCCCTGAATCCAGAGGTGTTTCATACTTTGAAGCCTTTTCTCTGCATCTTGGAAAACATCCCTTTCCTGACGCAACGAGGTCAAAATGATGAGATGAAAGGAAGGGGTGTATGTGGGGGTTTTTGAGGGGAAGCATTGGTTAATATGTTAAAATAATAGCCTTCTGCATCAGGAGCTGGGAGGTGGCGTCACAGAGTGACCGACCGCAAAGGCCCCAGCGATGAGGATGCCGACGATGATAATAACAGTTGTGACAGTAGCAAGTGCAGGCGGTGCTGTAAGAACGCCAAACAGATGGAGCTGGAGCATGTATTCTTCACTGAATCCTCATGACAACCCTAAGCGTGGGTACGTCATTATGCCCATTTATCAGATGAGGAAATCGAGGCTCAGGGATGACAGGGACGTGTCCAGACTCAGAGAGCTAGTACATGGTGGAGCCACCGCTCCACCCGCTCACAGAGGAGACGCTGACACCCGGAGAGGAAGGTGACACAGCAGGTGCGTGGAGGGCCTGAGGGGCCCTGGGACCCACCCGCTGCCCCTTCTGAGCACTGCTTCACCCCAAGCATCCCCCGCTAACCCTTCAAGGCACTTATTTAGATGCGTGGGTCACCCCTCACACCACCATCAAAAAAAAAAAAAAACCCTGTCTTCAGAAAGCACATAATATTTCCTGCAGGACGTACTTCAAATTAAAGAAGATAGTCATCTAGTGACAGTTGAGTATTTCCTTTTCTTTCAATACAAAGGTCAGCCTCCCTGGATGAACCTGGGCTGCCTCCCCGGTGGTCTGCTCTTAGCCTTGGCTTCCTTTCCTCAACCCCCTGCCTCCCTACCTACCCCACTCTCCCTTCCCTCCCTTCTGACATTCTTTGGGATACTTTGTGCCATCGCTGTGCTAGACCCAGAGACTACAAGTGGAGAAGGAGATAAACTCCATCCTTCTTCTCTCTGGGTTTAAAATCTTTGTGGGGAGACCAATGATTAAACAGATTGAAAACCAGTAGTAGTGCTACTCTGTTCTGAGCCCTCCCTCTGTGCCAGGTCCTGGGCTTCTGACCTCACAACAACCAGTGGGGTGGTGGTAGCTGTCCTACAGTCATTCCTACCACCACTGTCCTGCCCATGGCCACGTAGAAAACTCTGGATCACAGAGATTCAGAGCGGGTGAGCTGTCCATTAATAACAGAGCTGGGCTCAGCCACGATCCCGCCTCACTGCAGGGCCCAAGGTCTCAGTTGTGCCCAAAACATCCTCTTGTCCACGTGTTTTCTGCCAGGAAGCACGGGGGTTAGAGGGACGAAGGGTCACAGGCGTTGCCGTAACCGAGCGTTAGCCACTCACCAGACAGCTGCCAGGACCCTGCAGGCCGTTTATTTTCATTGGCGAACCTGGTGGAGAGGGCTGCATTTGTGCAAGGAACCAGCTCTTCCCAGAACGGCCACGCAGCACAGCAGAAAGACAGGTAGACCTGGGCTGGATCCCAGCTCCCTCTCTGAGAGGCGAGCGCGTCCTGTGGCTTTCAGGATGCAGCTCCAGCATCGCTTCCTCCTGCGAAGCCTCTGCTGGTCCCGACACAAGTGAATCCAACCCTGGCTGTACACTGTGATCACCGGGCAGCTTGAAACTCCCCTGGTGACTTCAGGGGGCCTCCACATGGAGAACCACTGGCTAGACCAGAGGTTAAACCTACTATCTCCTGGAAGCCAAGTCCAGGCCACCACCTGCTGTACATAATCATCTATTAAACAATGTGCCCTGGGCTTCCCTGGTGGCGCAGTGGTTGAGAGTCCGCCTGCCGATGCAGGGGACACGGGTTCGTGCCCCGGTCCGGGAAGATCCCACATGCCGCGGAGCGGCTGGGCCCGTGAGCCATGGCCGCTGAGCCTGCGCGTCCGGAGCCTCTGCTCCGCAACAGGAGAGGCCACAACAGTGAGAGGCCCGAGTATTGCAAAAAAACAAACAAACAAACAAAAAACCCCAATGTGCCCATTTGTTTGCATATTGTCTGTGGCTGCTTTTCAACTGCAAAAAAAAAAAAAAAATCAGATTACAAAAAATCTGTTTAATTTGAGGCTATTTATGTAAAAAAAAGTATTAATTCTGAAACCCTAAACTACTATCTGTGGTGATCTCCCTTCATGGAGGTTTAATTATATGGGGACTTTTGCTCTGTCTATAGGGTTGGATTTTTTTTTTTTTTCCCCCGGTACGCGGGCCTCTCACTCTTGTGGCCTCTCCCGTTGCGGAGCACAGGCTCCAGACATGCAGGCTCAGCGGCCATGGCTCATGGGCCCAGCCGCTCCGCGGCATGTGGGATCCTCCCGGACCGGGGCACGAACCCGTGTCCCCTGCATCGGCAAGTGGACTCTCAACCACTGCACCACCAGTGAAGCCCATAGAGTTGGAAATTTTTAAACAAGCCTGTGCTATAAGGAAACTAACAAGAATGTTTCCACTAAAAAACAAAAATCAAAAAAACAACCAACCAAACAAACAAAAATACATCTTCCCTTATACTGAACCTCCCTTGAACCTTCCTATAGCGTCAGTTATCTATAGGATATCTGCCTTCCTATAGCATCTACACTCAGGCCTTTGTTCTGCCATGTGGGGCTTCCTAGGCTACAGAAGGTCCTTGTTAATAAGATCTGTGTTCAGAGTTTGTCTCCTGGGAAGCACAGGCCTATAGCCCCTGGTACAGACATTATCGTAGGCAATCCCGAAGTGTGTTATTTAATGCATGGGATTTACTAACTCGTGTGCATGCTTGACTTCCTGCTTGACTTTGAGGGCAGAGACTATGAAGTAGACATTTCCACCCTCTACAGCATCTGGTACAAACTACACAGAGCAGGGCCTCAGGAAATCCCTGCTGAATGCGTGAATGAACAATGTTAGGAGACCCAAATTATCATTGCATGAGTATTTCTTTCCCTTCTACTGGGGACACTTCTGGCATTGCTTGCTTGTCAGTCACCGCCTGCCCCACGTCTCCTCTAGCCCCAAGCTTCTGGACACAGCTATGCAACTAGGAATAAGAGTGATGGGAAGAGTCAGAAAACAGGGGTGGGGCATTTGCTTTGGAAAGAATTGAGACATCCTTGTGTGAGAAAAAAGAGGAGAGCAGTGGAAAGAAGAGGAGGGTGGGGAAGAGGGAAGACTCCATGCTGGGGGCACTGGAGAGAGTGTAGGGGGCCCTGAAAGTGAGATGTGAGATGAGAGAGGTTCTAGGACAGCTGCAAGGCAAGTAAAAGCAAAGCAAGGAATAGAGGGCCGATGTCAAGATGCAGGGCCACAGATAAGGAATTGGGGTGCTTTCCGTGTTCTTTAGGACATACAGTAATGGTTGGAATTGTTTCTACGTTAGAGGCCTAGGTTATGTTTGTCTAAAGGTGAGGCACGTGTGGACCGGACCTCGTAGAGCTCTGGAATGTATTTGGGTTACACGTGGATGAGTGCCATGTGGGACTATGGCCCTGCCCATTCTCTGGCTCAGTCATCGGTGGGATGGGGGTGAGGGTCTGGAGCTGTGCTGGAGAATCTGCAGCTGCTTCCACTCTGACGCTTCCTCTGCTCTGTGCTTGTCATCCCATCCCCGGCCAGGCCAGTAGAGACAGCTCCCTCTGGAACTGCAGTGATCTTGAGATGCCAGAGGAGAAACGCTCCCAGTTGTTGGTGGGAAAGAGCGCTGTGGCAGAGGTCAGAAGACCAGGGCTTTGTTTCTATGTAGAAATGACTTTAGGGAATGTTTTGATTTAGTTAAAGAAAGTGACGCAGCGAATAAAAGTCCTTTGCCCCCAAATCAGGAAATAGGGGTAAGTTCAAAAAGAAGGTTCTAGATTTAATCTGCTATATTCTCATTATCTGGGGTTAATCACCACTAACCCTTTGGTATATGTTCTGGCAAGTAATGTTTTGTGCATATTCGTGTGTAATTTTTAAGCAAATCAAACTGTACACATTCTCGTGTCATATGCTATTTGCATGTGATTGAACATCTTTTTGTGAGAGGATGTAGGTTTGCATCCCTATTCCGCCTCTAATTTATCAGCTGCATGGCACCTGATTGGTCACATCACCTTTCAATACCTCAGTTTCTTCATCAATAAAATGGAACGATAACGATGCCCATCTCACAGGGCCGTGGGAAGGATCCCGTGGGACGATGGGCCACGTTGCTTCGCAAAATGTTCCCCAGAGGGGCGGGGCTGCACTTTTCCAGGTCCCGGGTCTCTGCCGGCTCAGCCTGCTTTTTCTTACACGGGCTTTTGGCTTCTTTTCTTTCCAGGATGGAGAAGGGGGATGGGCACGAGGAGGACTTTCGCTTGGATTGCCGCCACGAGAGATACCCTGCCCGTAAGTGGCCTCACCTGCAGGAGCCAGTGCTGCAGATTCGTGAACTGTCTGAGAAGAGAGGACCCTGGAGATGGGCCAGGCCAACCTCTCCCTGCCCCCCTGCATTCTCCCCCACACACATACTGCAGATGGCGAAACTGAGGCTGGGGTCTTAGCAGTGCAAGTCTTCCGCACATGGCAGCCACGGCCCTTGCAATGGGGTCGGAATGCTAAGGGAGCAAGAGGGACACGGGGGTGCCTTAAAGACAGGCAGGCGAACCACAGCTCCATCCAGGCCGGGGTTAGCCATTGGCTGGAAGGGACAATGGCTCCGGGGCAGAGCTAGCCGAGTCAGGGAGGTGATAGGTCACAAGATCTGTCTGAGCAGTGGATACTGGTGGCAGCTCAGAATGCACGGACTTCATATGCCTCACTGTGGGGGTCAGAATCTAGGGCTCCTATTCAGAAAACAAATGTCTGGACCAGAAAGCAAAGGGGAGGTCAAAGGAGAGAAAGGCCTTGCTCTGCACAGAAAAGAAAGGAGCTGAGACTAAAGTGGCAGGATCTCATCCGAGCCTGCTGAATGCCCACCCCGTGCTCCCTGCCCACCCCGCTCTGTACTAAGGGCTTTTTATGCCTGATCTCCTGTTCTTGCTGACCGCCAACCCCTACAGCCGGGATTACTAACCACACTTTGCAGAAATGAGGGCTCAGAGAGGTGGAGCAACTTGCCTAAGGTCACACAGCTTAGCTAGTCAGTGGCAGAGCCCTTAGAGCAGGTGCTGTCTGTGCCCTGCCTGTATCTCTCAGATCTTTTAGGAAGCTACGAGGCCTCCCAGCTGCCAGTATCTGCATCTCTGTGCCTGGGGGCTTGCCCCGCCTCCACCCACAGAAGGCAGGTATATAGATACCCCGGCTCCCTCGCCCCTTGAGTGGTATCGCCCCGAGGTGTGTGATTTTCAGGATTAGCCAGGTTTACCAGGTCTAGCAGCTGCCTGGGTTGGCCGCCTTCCCTCCCCTGGGCCATGTCCCCGCCTCTGTCAAGTTTCCCTGCATCTTTGTCGTGTCACCCCTTTGCTCCAATTCCTATCTCAGGATTTGCCTCTGGGGAATCTGAACTAAGACAGCAGAGATTTAAACTCAGATTTGTCTGCCCCCAACCCCTGGGATCCTAGTAACAGAGTGAGAAATGGCTCTGCTGAGAGGAGAAGATGGAGGCGGGTGAAGGAGCCTGGGAGGAGGCCCGGCTGGAGAGGAGGAGAGGGTCTGGTCTTCACGCTGAGGGAAGAGGCTCCTGTAGGAGACAGCAGCCCGGAAGATGTCCTGAATGCTAACTGCCTACCCGAGGAACTGGGGTGGATGCTGGGCCCACAGACTGTGGCTTCATGGCAGGTGTCAGGGTGGGGGGCTTCCTGGAGGAAGGGGTCAGGAGCCAGGGCATGGAGGAGGCTGGGGAGCATCTGCCTCAGGGATAACAGAAGAGAGCAGGAATCCACCAGAGGGGTTCAGGAAGCACATGGTAGGGACACAGGCTGAGAGCCCTGGCATGTTCCAGAGGGCCACCGGCTCCCCTGCTTGGGCCGGAGCCCCCTGAGGCCCCTGCAGAGTGGGCAGGAAGCCCTGGGTGGAAAGAGGTCGTGGGGGCAGCTAGGGAGCTGGGAGGAGGAAAGGCCAGATCCCTGAGGGCTGACGATGGAAGAAAGAGTCCAGAGAGCAAATCTGGCCCTGAAAGCGAGCCCTGGGATGGGAAGTGAGGACAGCCAGTGTCGGCGGAGCCGCAGAAGCCCTGCACCCCCAACCCAGCCCCTCACCTCTGTCCTGGCGCCCACTTCGCCTCCCAGGCATCACATGCATTCCCCAGGTCAACAGCCTGCAGAGAATTCCACCTTTCGTGCCCTCGGCAAATACTGAGCTGTGCAGACCCTCTGTGCCGGCACTGGAGAGGCAGCCGGGAGCCAGAGCAGGCAAAGCTCCTGCCTTGTGGGGTGGGAGTCCAGAGGGAGGGAGAATCAGGAAAGAAGTGAACTCAGAAACAAGCATGGTGATCTCAAGTGCTAAGGAACGTGATGCTAAAGAGGGATCGGGGGAGGCCTCCTTACAGCCACCTCTTTGAGGGGCCGCCGGAGCTGGGGCCTAAGGAAATAGAAGGAGTCAGTCAAACAAAGAGCCTTCCAGGCAGAGGGGCCTGCAGGTGCCAAGTCTCCGCAGCAGCCAGCACTGGAGGCCACGTGGCCGGAGCAGGGAAGCGATGGGGGTTGGGGATTGGGATGCGGGAGGAGACGGGGCTGGGGTGCCCAGGAGGCAGGACCATGGGAAGGAGCTGGCTCTGCAGTGGGGGGGAGGGGCATTGTGAGTGCAGAAGAGACTTGCCCAGATTATTTATCTGTATCTGTATCTATAGCTGTGTCTATATCTGTGTCTACATCATCTTTACCTATATCCGCATCTATCCATCCCTCCTTCCATCCATCTGCAATGTGGGAAAAGGATGGGAGGGGAGGAAGAGTAGAGGCCAGCAGACCAGCTTAGATGCTGTCCCCTCATCCCCCGGAGTGACGGTGGCCTGACCTGTGGCAACAGAGATAAAAGTGGGAGGATCCAAGAATTTTTTGCCGGAAGAGCCGTCTGAGTGCTTTGTGCTCCTGTGGAAGCAGATCCCGAGATAAGGACCCAACAGCAAGCACCTCATTTGGGTGATCCCGGAAAATACAATAGGTGCCGGGGAGGCGGACTAAGCAGGGAAAGGCAGGCAGGTGGAAGCCATGCTCCAGGCTGGTTATCACTGTAGGCCCTGCTGGGTGACTTGGGGAGCCAGTGCAGAGCACACGGTCTGAGTTATCCCCCCCGGACATGACAGTAGCTCTCCTCAGGCGTTGTTCGAAGGCTGCTGGGGTAGGGTGGGGTGCATGAATTCTCCTGGGGTGGGTGGAGAAAGCTCTGGCGCCGTAGGAGGTCAGCAGCCTGCTCCACTGGGAGGGAGGGCGCACCCACAGCCTCAGCTTGTGTGACTTGAGGTGACAGATGGAGGCGGCCAGGAACCTAAGATACGCACAGAACTTTCAGGCCAGCAGTCAAGGGCCAGATGTCACCCGCTGATGGACCTGGAGAGGACGAGTTTGAGGGGCGTGTAGGGTTGAGGACAGAGATAGTTGAAGCTGGGGGACTTTTGAGACCGTCGAGGGAGATTGTGTGGGGTGGGGAGAGATGGAGAAGCCATGAGGTCCTAACACCCTGGGGCTCAAAGAGAAGCATGGAAGCCGGTGGGGAAGGGCCTGTGGCTCCCACAGGTTTTCCAGGTCCCAGCCTCTCGGGGAAGAAGGAACCTCAGAGTCCCCAGCACCTCTGCCATGTGTGCCTTTCATCAGATAGCCGAGTTATCCGGATGGCTGTCTTTCCCCGGGGACCAGCGGAGGCGCTGGGGTCTCAGAATCACAACAGTGAGGAAGAGGTAGACCCCATCTGCTGTCGGAGCTGACGGGGAGGCACCCGAATGTGGGCTGGGCACACCCCATCTGCCAGACCCCAGGCAGCGTTTGGGGATGCGGGGCCCAGCCACCTGTGGACTGGGTCCTCACGTGGTTCATGGGCTGGAGAGCAGCCTGATCGTCTAGGGAAAGGACACCGTCTCCAGAATGCGGCCTCTTAGCTGCTAGTGGGATTTTGGCCAAGAAAATGTTTTGGAAAGTCCTGGACGAGTTTTGCAATATTTCTCTGCTGAGCAACTGCTCAGATCTGGTTGGTGTACTGACTTGCCAGCAGGACGCACGGGTGGGGGAGGAGTGCCAGGGAGCCTGCGTTATTAAGCACTTACTGTGTGCAGGTCCCGCTCAGCACTTCACAGCCGTCTCATCTGATGGCTGGCACAGCTCTGGGAAGGAGGGTTGAGTGTTGTTATTGTGTAGACTGAGAGGCTGAGGCTCTGAGACGCAGATTGACTTTGTTGAGATCTCTGGCCCCCCGGGGAAGTACAACTCAGCTTGGCGTGTAGATCTCTCCCATTATCCTGGAACCAGGCCGTTCCTGCTCTGGCCCCCAAACTCTCCACCTCATTTCTTCCCACTCTCCCCTCCCTCATTCTGCTCCAGCCACCCTGGCCTTTCTCTTTCTTGAACATACAGAACTCATTCACTCCACAGAATCTCTGCACGTGCTCTTGTCTCCACCTGAAAAGCTCTCCCTCTAAATCTTTGCATGGCTGGCTTTGTCTCCTCTTTTTTTTAAAAAAAAAAATTAATTTATTTATTTTTGGCTGTGTTGGGTCTTTGTTGCTGCACGTGGGCTTTCTCTAGTTGTGGCGAGCAGGGGCTACTCTTCATGGCGGTGCGCGGGCTTCTCATTGTGGTGGCTTCTCTTGTTGCGGAGCATGGGCTCTAGGCACATGGGCTTCAGTAGTTGTGGCGCGTGGGCTTCAGTAGTTGTGGCTCGCGGGCTTAGTTGCTCCGTGGCATGTGGGGTCTTCCCGGACCAGGGCTCGAACCCGCGTCCCCTGCATTGGCAGGCGGATTCTTAACCACTGCGCCACCAGGGAAGTCCCTTGTATCCTCTTTAAGCTTCTCCTCAGAGAAGCTCCCCTAACCTGCACCAGCTTCCCCAGTCGACCTCATATCACTGTGTTTTCTTTTCTTCATCGTATCTGTACCTCTCTGACATTATACTTACATGCCTGGCTTTTGTGTTGCTGCCTTTCTCCGCTGGGTTCCAGGAGATTAGGCACCCTGTCTTTTGTTTTGTTCATGCCTGTATCCTGAGAGCCTAAAGCAGTGGGTGGCACACAGTAGGTGCTGAATTGCCTCTCTAAACTTCTCATTTTCTCCCACCATATCCCACCCGAGAAGCCACTTTTACATAAAGAGTTACATGAACTTCTGGTTATCTTAACTGTTCCAAAAGTTGCTATTTTTTCTTGGGCTGCTGTGATATAGATTCTGCCACATTTTTTTCTTTTTTCTTCCTGAGGAAAGAGTTTGCCTTTGAAAGCTGCCTTTGGGGCTTTGCAGTGCCACCAGCTAGCTCGGGGGCAC